AACACTCCCATAACCCTAAATCACTTTCACCACCGGCCTCCTTTGAACTCTCTCAAACCCCCCTTCTCTCTATCAAACCCTAGTCGTCTTCTCCCCCAAATCCCTCGCCTAATCCCACCAGACATGGGATTATACGGCCATTTCTTGCCATATACGACTCTTCCCTGGTACTGGATCCTTCTCTAAACCGCTTTCCTAAATATGACAAGCGTATCTCATCAGAATCGAACAAGCGTATCTCATCAGAATCGAACCAAAGTAGGTTCAACTTCTTGACCTTTCTACTATTCTGTCTATGTTCATTCTTGCTCTATTATGGGTATGAATCTCTGTGTATCTCTGTTGATTCTTACTTACCCTAAAATTAGGGTTTCATATCTCTTTAGATCGAACCAAAATTGGTTTGATTCTTTGATTTTAAGCGATATTTCTGTCTATATTCATCTTATTCTGTGCAACGTTTGATTTTTTATTTTTTAGATTCTGCCGATTTTTGTACTTTCCCTAAAATTAGGGTTTTGAAATTTCTCTCTTTGCATTACTGATTCCGATTGCATGTGATGTTCTTTCCTTTCTAGTGTTTGATTGATGATTTTCCTTGTTTGGGTGTTCGATTTCTACTGCTATATAAACCCCTCCCCATTCCCCTTTAGGAGAAGGGGGGATCATTAAGAAATTTACTAAAAAAAATTAAAGTTGCGTGCTCTTTGTTATCTAATACTCTTGCTTTATATTCTGGTTCCTGGCCGGCTGAAAGCCAAGGCCAGAAATTATGGGTTCTTGCTCTTTGTTGATATTCATAACACTGTCGACTTCCGTTCTTTTTTATTCTTCACTTAACTAATGAGTTACCAAACCTTTGTCATTTCATTCCTATTTACCTGTTATTAGCATATATTTTCACTTCTGAAAATTATGGTTTAATGCATTTCTGGGCTGTTCTCGTGTGCAATTCTGACTGTCTTACTTCAATTTTAGGCATTTCTAATCTTAATTCCATTACGTTTGTAGTTTGAGACATGCTTAGACCTGACTTGAGCTAATTAATTTCTTTTTAAGTCTGCCTAGCCTATGTGTTACTAATGTTTAGAACCTTTGCACTTTAGCCATCTCTTTAGTGTTTAAATTTGCTATTAACCCTGTTACTTGAACATGCTTTCATATCCCCTTTTATGGATTAGATGACCAAGCATGAATGTATTCACTAAGTATCTAGCATAAGTCTGTTTCTGAACTTGTTGTGATGACATGTAGCATGTTTGATCCTGTATGCTTCTACCATGTCTTGACTTCCCAATAGCTGCCTTAATTTGTTCTCATTCTGTTAAGTTTTGTTACCAATTTATATGATCCCTTCTAGGGACACTAGCATCTACACTTAGCATAATCTGAACTTTTTTCTTACGATGAGTCTGTGTACATCAATCTTGCAAACCTGTCTTGTTAGTATATGCATTATGTGTTGAACTTGTTTTTCTGAAACTTTGTTAAGTCTGTTCTCAAAACCTAAGCATGTTCTACTACCTGTTCTATGTGCTCAACTTGAATCTGCTTGTATCCCTCAGTGTTGTCCCTTAACCTTAGTTTATTCCCTTACTGCCTGGTCTCTTTTGAGTTCTTATTCTTAGCCGGCTGAAAGCCAAGGCTACTTAGGTTCTATCATTTGACCTCCCTAGTGTGAGCACTACTCGGCTTCCTATTGAGACCCATGTGAACTCTGACACACTAGGATTTGGTCCTTAGTCTTTCTCCGAATTTCCCCTATCAACCTCCCTAGTGTGAGCACTGCCCTGGGTTCTTGAAACCCTTAGGAACTCTGATACACTAGGGTCTTGGTTCTATTTGCTCAACTCTATTTTCTACCTACTGGATGAATTAATTGGTTTCTGGCTGCCTTATATCAATGAAGATGTAATTTTTGGGCTGTTGTGAACCATGGGAATGAAGGCCTGGCCTGGCTGGGTATATCTTTGGTCCTGCTATAGGCTCACTATAGTTATTTTATTCTGTAATTTATGCCATTCATTGGGTCTGTAATAATGTTATTATAACAATTGGGGATATTAGTAAAACTAGGGAAAGGGGGTTTATCTTAACATTTGCAGTGAAATAGGTAGAGATCCTGCCTATAGGTGCTCTACTTTGCTCAAATGTATTATTATGCTCAAATGTGTTCAGTTATTATGCGTTAGAAATCCTGCCTATAGGTTCTCTACTTTGCTCAAATGTGTTCTGCTTTTACCTGTTAGAAACCATGCCTATAGGATACTAAATGACCAATATCCCAATGTGCACATGCATTAGGCTGTATAGGATCCTGTTAATTTACATGCTACCTAATCTGCAATTCAAATACCATGCCAATAGGATCTAAAATCAGTCTTAATTATGACTATAGAAATCCTGCCTATAAGGTCTAAAACCAGTCTTAATTATTATCCTGCTCGTTTCTTTCAAGTGCTAATGTTGAACTTTCAACACTATTTCGTTGTCACTATTAGAAAGCATGCCTATAGGACCAAACTAAGTAATTCTTAATATCTACCGTGGTTATCACCGCCAACTACTGCGTAAATCACCTAGATAACATGTCTATAGGTTTAATTGCTTATAAAACGTAATTAGTAGGCAATTGTGTAGTCACTTAGAAATTGTATCTAAGGTAGCATCTTGCATCTGAAACTGCCTGCATGTTCGAATCCCAAGGTCACATAGAAACCATGTCTATAGGGCCTAATGGATTTAATTTGCCTCAATCCTGAAATTGTCTAACGCTTAATGTGAAAAATTTATTCGCGTGCATTTGTTGTCTAAGTGTAGAGGCTAACTTAAGCCCTTATTTGCTTTTACATGAAGTCCAACTTGTTTTGTATATCACCTAGTTTTATCATTTCTGAGCAGCCTAAGCTAAGTCTAGAAACCATCCAAAATAGAGGTCCAAACGCCTCATGGGCCATAGGCATGGGACGGGTAGTGCACACATAGTGCACAGTTTAGAATCAACTAGTGCACTTTAGGTAAAAACTTAAAGATAGTAATCGGGTAGCAAAAGATGATAGTCTGTGCCCGCTGAATAATACGAGTAACACCCCACCTCGAGGGAGTTACGAAGTATTATTTATGTTGCACGAGGTGATCCTTTAGGCTAAAAACTTAGGACCCCCATCTTGTGTTTAAACCAATTATCTGTGTTTACTCAAACACTTTCTAATAGTGATTTTTTTAAAACTTCTTGTTTTTCTCTCTAACTATTTGACTAATTCATATAATTCAAGTTCGGTCGGGACCCACAGTTATGGACCCCGAAGAGTGCCTAACATCTTCTTTTCGAGGTAATTTGAGCCCTTACCCGATCTTTGGTAACACAAACTGGTTAAACCAGAGTTATTTACAAATAGGTATCCTAACACACCTCAAACCCGTTAGGTGGTGACTCTCTCTAACACCCTTCCTTTTAAAGAGTTGTCACGTATCGAATCCCGATTTTACGAGAAAGAAGGGGCGCGACAACAGTCCCTCTTCACGGCCTCGAGGTGGCTCTTTGTTATCGAGCACATATACATCGACACATGCTCATATCGGCCCGGGATCGATGAAGGGTTTTCAACCTTGAAGTCAGATTTTAGAGTACACGGGCCGGGAACATACTCGTGGAGAAGCGGCTCCACCGCCGCCTTGCCGCCAGACGGCCGGGAAGAGGAGCAAGAAGCTTTCTCCTTCTGCGGTACGGTCTTTGAGGTTTTTGCCATTTATATAAGTAAAGAAGAGCGAAGGAAGATAAAAAACTGGTGGTCTCAGTTCTAACAAAGATGGCTCTACAGGCGGCGAAAAGGAGGAGACGAAAAGTGTGAGAAGACCTAGAGGTTTGATTAGAGCAAAAGTAAAGTTTGATTCAATGAAGGAGCGGGTATTTATAGGCTCATGGCGACGGTTCGGTGGCGCTAGTGGCCAACCGCTAAACTAACAGACTTTAATGATTTGGGGAACTGAACCAATGGGACATTTCGATCACATCTGTCACTTACGTCATGAGGACTACATCATGATCGAGGTTTCGAAAAATCAAGGCTCAAACCGTTTCTTATCATTTTATTCCAAGAAACGCGGGGACTATCTGTATACGGTCGAAATCGGGCATGTCATATTTCGTAGGTACGAGGAGCTGTCTCGAAGAGTAAGCTCGTAATAGACCAGGCTCGGGCTCAATGGCAGAGTATGAAGCACGAAGATTGAAGTGCTCGCTGAAGATCGAGATCGAGCATGACCGACTTCGAGTATGGCATAATAACGGAATGACGAGATATTAGCAACCGACCAAAGATCTCGGCGGAAATTCCGGAACATATCAAATCAAGCGGTTATTGACACCAATCATGGAATTTATTTTCGTTATTAGAATTGTACCTTATTTAGGATTCCTCTACTATATAAAGAGGGACCCAATTCATTTATAAGGGGCATTGATTCACTGAAAAAGATATACAAAAACGTTGCTCTCTATTTTACTGACTATCCATTATTGTTCATCATTGTTTATCCTCTGTTCTTCACTATTCTTCTTACCCAATCTCGAGATCATCTCAAATCGAGGTCGAAAGCGCTGCTAGAACACTGGTTTAATTTATTTTACTATTCAGATTATCTATTCAATTCCTTGTTTGTCAGTTGGTATTGGATTAAATCACGTATCCTTAAAACCATTAAATAAGTTTAATTGTTACTCAGATTTCTGGATAAACAATAATGCAACCATCCAATAAGATTCAGAAGGAAGACACTACAAGAAATATGATTTTTTATGACGACTTTTAGCAGCGAGACATATAATAGCCACAAAATGAGGGTTTTTGTGGCGACTGGAAAAAGTTGCCACAAAAGTGATAGTTTTAGTGGGGATTACAGTTGCCAGAAAAAATAACATATATAGTAGCGACTATATGTATGCCGCCCCAAAATATGTACTAATTTTTTAATTACGTATATGGCTGAAAAAGTATTTGCAGCCAACAGTCGCCTCTAAAAGAGCTCTTGTGGCGACTTCTTCGCTACTAAACGTAGAGTTTTTGTGGCAACCTTTTATGTCGCCTCTAATTCGTTTATTTTGACATCGATTTCCGTTTTGTGAAAAACGCAAAATGGTTCACCCCCACCAGTTCAGACTCAAAATTTCCTCTCCCGTTCCTCCTAAATCCCATTTTCCCCGATTCCCTCTTGCCCCTTCCATATTTCATATTCCTAAAAAAATAGATTAATGCTTCTCTCTCAACTCGTGTTCCCCAACATTAAAGAAACCCAATTTCCTCTCGGCCGAGAAAAAAATACATCTCATTTCTAAAAAGAGGAGTAGATTTGAAGGAGGTAGGAGAGGTCTATTTCCCAAAAGCTAAAATTTGAGTAACATTGAGGTACACATCATTCTTTTGTGTTGGTTTGATTCAGCTTCTTTTGAGTCGATTTGGCTTTTTTTCTTTCACATCATATTTCATGAAAATACTCATATTTCCAGTCAATTTCAATTTATGTGCTATCGAAGCAACGAAATAAACATATTTCGACAATTCCATATCTTGTGACTTCCTATTTCTGGGGTTTCGTTGGTTCTCACAGCTATTGTTGCACGGGAGGTAAGCTGAGGTGTTTCCTTTCTATTTTAGGGTTTGTTATACTATTTCTGCATTTTGTCGATCTTTCTCGATCTCTGAACAACTTTCGTTTTGTTGCCCTTGAAGGTTTTTCTGCTTATAAAACAGGTGATCGACCGCGACCAGTACCATTTTTCTTCAGTTTGAGAAAATTTCTTTGGGGGTAAGTCAAATCTAGTTCTTTTAATGATGAATGGAATTTAGCCACTGAATTGTGTATGTATTATTACTACATCTAATTAGTTGTTTCTTTAAATTTTTATTTCTATCAATTCTTTGTTCTGCTTCTTCTTTTGTTTATTTCAATTCTTGATTTTGCTTATCTTTACTCTCTTTGTGTGCACGTGTTTGTGATTTTCGTTTTGGCCTTTTATCTTTTTTCTTGGTATCTCATTCTTTAAGCTCTCAAGGGTATCTATTTGTACGACAAACGAGATAGCGTTAGTCAAGAATGGAGTTCCCTAGCAGACCACACAATAACTAAAAAGCAGCATGCAGTACAACAGAACATTAATGAAGTTGAAGAGAAGAAGGTGTGTGTTACTAGTGGCATATCTTTCCTAGGTATAGCCATTGTTAACTAACTCCTACTCTGTGGCTACTATGTTCGTGTCATTGTCGACAACCCAGACACCTACCATTTTCTTCTGCTCAAATTTCTAAGTACATATTCTGTCCTCCATCTATTTGGCGTTAAATTGTTCGACTATATTATCTTAAATTCAAACAGTTAAACGATAAATCATATATTTATTTATTTAATTATGTCTTTTGGGTTTCGTGAATGCTCGTGAATTAATTCTTAAAGAGGCACACATTTTATAAAATTCTTTCAAATAAATATCTTTTGAATATAAAATTCTTTCAAATAAATATCTTTCGAATAAAATTCTTTCAAATAAATATCTCTCTGTGACACCTCATTTCATAAACATAAAATACGGGTCTCAGCCCACTTTCATATTTTTGTAACACGGGTCTTAGCCCACTTTCATATTTTCGTAACACGGGTCTCAACCCACTTTCATATTTTCGTAACACGGGTCTCAGCCCACTTTCATATTTTCGTAACACGGGTCTCAACGCACTTTCATATTTCCATGGCACCTCGTGCGTATATTTCTATCAAAACCGCAAGGACAACTCACGTGCCAATAATAATAATAATAATCATATTTTTCATATTTCATATCTGTTGCGGCGTGCAACCCGATCCCATATAACATAATCCGCTCAGCAATAGCCACTGACTCACAATTTCAACATAGATCAGACTATTATCAAGTTTACCGAAACAACAAGACAAGTTGCACAAGGTATAAAAATAAACACAAGGAAAATTACAACACCACATGAAAATTACCAACGCAATAACCCCACATCATCACATATCATCCATGACAATAGCCACCATTATCTCTACTATAGCAACCCTTATCACTCCTATAATAGCCTCTATTATCCCTCCGCCCTGACAATATCAATTGCCACCCTTATCGCTCATATAGGCACCCTTATCACTCCTATAATAGCCTCACTTATCCCTCCGCCCTGACAATATCAATAGCCACCCTTATCACTCTTATAGCCACCCTTATCGCTCCTATAGTAGCTTTCCTTATCCCCCGCCCTGACAATATCAATAGACACCCTTATCACTCCTATAGTCACCCTTATCGCTCCTATAGCCACCTTTATCGCTCCTATAATAGCCTCCCTTATCACTCCGCCCACACAATATCCCAACACACATAACAATAGTGAAATGCCACCCTTATGCCCGCATAATGTCAACAATGGAATGCCACCCTTATACGCCGCATAACAGTAACCCAAATCATACAACAATTCACACAGGATATTATCACAATATCACATCATCATCAACTCATATTTACAATTTGTCCGTAGGCCACAACATTTCCAAAGGTACAACAAAGTCAATTAATTTCACAACAGATAGTACATGGCTCAATACAATGTATATAAAATCTCAAAAACAACCACAAGAATGAGAAAATAACTCATCATAGGACAACGCCTTCTTTAATCTAAATTTTAGATAAATATATAAACGCCTCAATTTAAAATTATTTAATTAATTATTTGCAGATGAAAAATCCATAATGTGATTATTTCCAAGAAATATCAAATCAACAAACACGCGGAATTCACATAAAAATCCAAGTGGCAATCACACCAAATTATCATATACAATACAAACTCAACAAACAAGGAATGAGGCATGAAAAATCAAGGATTTACTATAAATCCAATTTAATACATAAGGGCGTCTACAAATTCCAAACAATATAATTTGCACATATAAACTAAGTACGTACTCGTCACCTCACATACATGGTTTTCAATTACATAATTTCCACATAAGACTCAATGCCTAAGGGGTAATTCCCTCACTCAAGGTTAGGAAAGATACTTACCTCAAGTAACTCAATCCACCGGTAAGCCATTTTTCGCGATTATCCAACTCCGAATGGCTCGAATCCAGATGAATATTTCCTTGAAAATGCTTCGGCAAAATCGCTACAAACCGAGCTTTCTTGATTCAGCTCTTTAGTGATATTAAAACCTCCAACTACTCTTACAACTTCGATCTACATCAACATAATTCGGTTGGACCAATATCAGTAAAATTTCCAGGTTTTAGGTTATTTAGGCAATTTATCAAACACCTAGTAGGCATCAATCTCTACATCTCTTAACCATAGAATTAGTTCAACCAACTACTACCATTTACTAACAATTTATCCCACCATCATTCTTAAACAATTCATAACTTCCAACATCACATACATTGACCATCCATCCATACCTAACCAACAAAATTCCATCAAATAGTTACCTTTCAATCTCTACAATAGTTATGTATTTAAATTGGGAACTTATTGCTTCCAATCATCATACCATAAGTTCCAATACTTAATTCATACTCATATTCCCATAATATATCCATACATGTAAATCTAAGGGTGTAGGATTACCTTTTGGAATAAATCTTGCAAAACCCTCCTTTGAGTTCTTGAAGAAATTTCTTGAAGATCTAAGTATTTTATGTGTAGATTTCATCAATACTAGTGTAGAAATGATAGAATTTCATACCAAGATAATGAAGATTGCTTACCTTGAAGAAGAGAGGAGTTGGTGGTTTTGAGAGAGTAGAGAAGAGCTCCAAAATTCATCGAAATAAAATGGGGAAAATGAACCCCGAATTGGCTTAAAAGAGCTGGAGCTGGGGCACGTCTACTCTAGCGAAGCGTGCCTCACTTCGCTGTCCACTGCAGGCACAAGATCCATGTCTGGTCTGGCGAACTGTCCGCCAAAATAACTGGGTGATCTAACTTTGGTAATTTGATTATAACTTTTAGTAGGAATGTCCAAATGACGAACGACTTGATGCGTTAGGAACTAGACTCAAAGGGCTACACTCTAGACGCAAAATTCATGGAAAGTATCTTCACATTATGAGAGTTATACCCATTCAAAGGTAGGTGTTGTGCAAATTAAGACACATTTTCCACTTAATATTTCTAACTTTTGCCAATTAGTGTCGAAACATTTTAGACCTATCCAAATGCAAATCCGGGCATACGCCAAGTCCAAAATCACCATCCGATCCTAACGGAACCATCAAAATTTCGATCCGAGGTCGAATACTAAAAAGTCAAATTTGATCAACTCTTTCAACCTAAGGCTTCCAACATGGAATTTATTCTTCCGAACTAATCCCGAAACACTTGAAAATCAAAACCGACGATTCACACACGTCATAATACATCATATGAAGCTATTCAAGACTTCAAATAGTTGGAAGGAGCGTAAATGTTCAAAACGACAAGTCGGATCGTTACACGAGCGTAAATACCTAATGATGGATATACATGTTATAATATAAGTACTCCGTATATTTATCATTTATTTTAGATTTGTAACTAGAAAAACTGAATCGAAATTGCAGAAGTCTTGGAAAAGTTAAGAGACATGGAAATATCTGGGAAAATGAGAGAGTCCAACAACAACATAGAAGCAGTAATGGCAAGTCTAACTCTTCATCTGGTAGTTTGTACTCTTATGAAAGATAGAGTTATATGCCTGCATATGAAAGTTTACTTTGTACTCTTCATCTAGTATTTCACTTTGAAATTAGTAAACTATAGCTGGAAAGCCTATTAGAAGAAGAAACAGAGAGAACATAGTGCAAATTGGGACAGCCTTAGGAATATGAAACATGACTCAATTTATATCAGCTACTCAAGAGTTATTTCAAATAGTATGTTGTCAAACTATTCTTCCATCACAAAACTATAATATGATATTTATGAGGTTTGTTCTTTTACAGAGAATATGATTAGTGTATAAGCAGTAAAGAAAGTTCATATTTTATATATCTATCACTGGTTGTTGGTATGTGTTGATCGGTTTTAATAGTTTGGGCACTTACATGTGAAATAAAGTAATTTTAGTCATCATTGTTAACGTGCTTTTTAAAAATATATTGACATGATTACATCATTTCACTTTCATGATATCTAATGTGTTTTCTAACAAATCTCTCCTAATTTCTTTTGTAGGTAGTAACTAATTTGTCCAATATTTAAGCAAAAAGATAATAACGTGCCTTCTCATGGAACATTATAAAAGGAACCGCTCTTGGGAGTGGCTAATATTATTTCCTTCTGATTTTTTTGCTCCCTCCTTTGGCTGCAATCTAGGACATGGGAGCTTCTTGCTGCATTTTGAGGCCATATATTTTTCCGGAGGAAATGATGCTAGCAAAGGAGCTCGAATAGACTTTATTTTTGCTTTTTTTCGACGTTTCATGTGTGCACAAATTCTATGTTATGAATTTTTAATAAAAATCCTTGATCATTTTGTTTGACAAATGCTTTGAATGGTGCCTCTTCTAATATATTTGTGTAATTTAAATACAAATATTGTTTCAACTTAATTATTTTTAGAAAAATAATATTTATTGAAAAAATAAGTTTTAGTAGCGACCAAACTTTGTCACAGAAACTATTAGTATATGTAGCGACTAATCTCGCTACTAAATCTCATACTATAGTGGTGATAAGAGCTGCCACTGAAAGTATAATAGTTGTTGTGGCAACTATAGTCACTACAAAAAGTTATTCTTCAGTGGCGACCTTACACAAATCTACCTTGTCATTGCGGATTTTTCTTACCTATTGTAGCGCCTAAACCCGCCATTAATGGATTCTTTTTGTGGCGACCTCTAAGAGTCGTCACAAATAACATCGGTAACGGCTTTACTTGGAACGACCCAAATGTCGCTACTAATTAGTATCAGTGGCGACTGTGCGTGCATTTGTAGCGACTTCAGTCGCCACAAACAATTTGATTTCCTGTAGTGAGATATTCGGGAGAAGGTGGGCGTGGCTCCTATGGATGCCATGATGCGAGAAGTGAGCCTTAGATGGTTCGGGCACGTACGAAGGAGAAGTTTGGATGCCCCGTTCAGGAGGTATAAGCGGTTGGTTTTGGTGGGTACGAGAAGAAGTAGAGGGCGATCTAGAAAGTATTGGGGAGAGGTGACCAGATAGGACATGGCGTGGCTTTAGATTTTCGAGGACATGACCCTTGATATGAAGGTGTGGAGGTCGCACATTAGAGTTGTAGGTTAAGAGGTGGCTGAGGCTAGTCTGATAGGATTGTCTCTGACTGCTAGTGGTTAATGTTGTGTTCGCACTATTCTCCGTTTTCGTTGTGCCAAGCTTTATTTTACTGGCTATTGTTATTGCTTTACATCTATTTTCTGGTTCTTATGTTGTTGTCATTATCTCTTGATTTTTCTATTGATGGTACTGATATAGTATTTCTTTCGTCGTCTTAAGCCGATGGTCTTTTAGAAACAGTCTATCTACCCCGAGTAGGGGTAAGGTCTGAGGAGGATAGTGGAGAAGTGTGCGTACAAACAGCCCTCCTCATACCCCACTTATGAGATTTTATTGGGTTGTTGTAGTTGCATGCAACAACCATCCAAACAAACTGTTAGTATATTTTTCACATAAATTATTGGTCTTGTATAATTAGGTATTGACCTAAAACAACACGTTAAATTTCATAACAAGTTTGTAATATTACTGAAATTAAATCAGAAACATGCTATAATTAGTCAAATTACAGTGTTAGCATAAGGGAAAGAGCTGTGAACGGAAAAAAGCCAAAGACCAGTAATAAGCCTCTACTGATCCATAGTTTGATCCCATCTGAATAAATAATTTCTTCAACATCCGAAAAGGACACGCCATGAACCGCCAGTAGACTACCGCCGGCCGACATCCGATGCAGAATCGCCGACGCTTGCCTAGCCGAACATAGCTTCCTTTTCTCCTCCTTACACGTCGGCGCCGCCTACACCACCGCCGTATCACAGTGGAGTTGGACCATAAGGAGATTTCTACACCACCTTTCTTAAGCATTTAATATGAGTTTGTAACTAGTGGAACAATAGTTTGTTGTTGATATATATGTAAATTGGTGAAGTTTAATTTAATTAAAAATAATGGTCATTAGTACGTTTATGACTTTATGTACTGTGTATTGCTTGTGCTGACGCGTCAATAGGATATGGGCAAAATCACTTTTAGCCTGCAACCGAAACTATTTATATTCGGTAATCGCAAAAGTATATAAAATTTGTGTATTTTTTATATATAATATATAGAAATATATATATATGTATATATATATATATATATATATATAATATATATATATATTTTTAAGTTATTATTTTGAAAACAGCTATAGAGTATCATTTTCCATTATAATATTCTTCGAAAAGTAAGGAATTTGGTCTTTTTGAAATATGTATAGAGCCGGAGGTGTCAAGTGAGTGTCATCATTTGCAGCATGTTGTTTTTTTAAAAAAATAAAAGAAATGAGATTTTGATGGATAGAGATGCGGGTTACAGGGAATATATAGTTCACTTTCTGCTTAATTAATTACTTCTTAAGCAAAGTAATTGTAATATTTTAAATTTGGACGGTGGGATTAATGGGAATTTTTTTTTTTCTAGTATCTACCGGGAAAGAGCAATATGTAAAACATGCATTGCAATTTGCAAGTCATGTAACTAGAAAATGAGGATTTTAATTTTTAATAAAATTAAAGTTATATATAGTGATAACCATGACTTGCGAGTGCGTTCAAGGTTTGAATTACAGGTTTGGAATCCTATGCTTATATATACAACTAGTGAATTTGACCTCGCTTCGCTCGGTCATAAAAAATAATTTTTTGAAAGATAAAATTGTAAATTCATTGATAAATGAAAAAGAAATATACAAACTTTTTTTAGTTGTTGATAAGTAAAATAAAAGTAGAAAGAAACTAATTCATACATTTACATCATAAATGCGTAAGAAAGTAAAACTAATATGATAATAAAAATAAAAGCTTTACTAAAAAGGAAAATAAAAGACCTAATTGATAATCCCAATACAATCATCTGAATCTTCTGAATTGAAGTTTTGGAAAGCTTTAACTTGGAAGTTATGCACAATATTTGGCACCATTTATGGCTTTTGAGAATTGGGCCGTGGAACGTAGGTACATTGACGGGTAAGTCTATAGAGTTAGCGAAAATCCTCTAGAAGAGGAGGGTCAATATAACGTGTGTCCAAGAGACTAGGTGGGTAAGGTCGAGGGCGAAGGACGCGGACGGGTATAAACTTTGGTACTCAGGAGTCCAAAAAGGTAAGAATGGAGTGGGCATCTTGGTGGATAGGGAACTCAGAGAGTCTGTGGTCGAGGTTAGACGAGTGAATGATAGATTGATGATTATTAAGTTGGTGGTTGGAGAGTACACCCTAAACGTCATTAGCACCTATGCGCCGTATGTGGGCCTAGATGAGGAGGTTAAACGACACTTCTGGAAGGGGTTAGATGAGATTGTGCGTCAGGTTCCGCCTACTGAGAAGCTATTCATAGGAGGGGATTTCAATGGGCATATTGGGTCGACTGCAGGTGGTTATGGCGAGGTGCATGGAGGCTTCGATTTTGGGGAGAGAAACGGATGAGGTACATCGTTGTTGGATTTCGCTAAGGCTTTTGGGTTGTGATTGTGAACTCTAGCTTTCCAAAGAGGGAGAGGCATTTGGTTACTTTTCAAAATGCGGTG